CATTCGGCCCATTTTAGAAATTTCATTATTTACTACGGCATTTACTCACTACAATTTTTGACAGCGAAAGAGAAAGAAACCAGTTTAAATTGACTTGGATGGATCAAAAATGCAAATAATCGTGAATATGCCCTTCGTTATTCTTTTATTCGAAAAATGCTAGTCCCTGAATTCGAGCACCTGCGATGCGTACACCTCGTGTCAATGACGGAACTGAGCCAAATCCGACTATCCGATTGCCCTTGCAGATTTACTCGGTGCTTTCATTATGTTGAAACATGTTCCGGGTTGCTAACAGCTCGATAAATACAGCGCTGCTGCAATGATTTTTTTCTTGTTTTCAGAGATTCATAGAATTTTGTCAGCGCAACTTTTCCACATTAATATATCGCTCAAAAAATAAAAATTTATACTCTATTTTTTTACTTTATGATTTTAAAAATTTCTGGAAAATTAAATATTTACATTAAATATATTTTATACTTAATATTTTCTGGAAGGCAATGGAAATAATATTTAGAGTACCTCAGGCTTCTTTAATCCAATTTCTTCTTTTTGAAAACACATTTCAGAATATCGAAGTTGAGCTTGATGGAATTCGAGATTCAAAAATGAAGAAAAACACCCCAGTGGTCAACCGTATTGCTGGCTGATTTGAGAATTTCTACAACTTTTTACTCCCGATCGTGTGCCATCTTGAAAATGCCGTTGATCATGGTCGACTTGAAAGATCTCCATAAACTATAAATTTTCGAAAGTCCATGGAGAAAAACGGTGGGAAATGGCAGACGAAACATGTGTAAGTGCGGAAACGGGAGCGAAAAAGCCAAAGGCTGCCAAAAATGCGAAAATTCACAAAATTAATCTAAACTCCCTGCAAAAAGATTTCCACTCCTAGAAATCCCCCTTTCCATGTTTTCAGAATAACGACGCAATTTCGCAACATAGGCCCCTACCCAAGTCACGAAAGCGCTCTTCCACTCCTTTTTCTGTCCTCTCTGTTAACTCGGTTGAGAAAAGTTTTGCAGTTGATTTTAGGCATGTTACAAACGTTTACAAATTATGACACATGGCAGCAAAGAACGAACGACGGAAGGGTGAAGAGGAAAAAAAAAGAGGTACACTGGACACGACCATCTTGTAAGGCACAAGGCGAAGATACCTTAGATGGGCGGCCAGCTACAGCCGAGCTACCTTGGCGATACAAGGAATTGACACTCATTGAGTATTATAGTTTTTT